ATGTATTTGTACAATGCCAGATTCTTTTTTTTTTTAATTGGGGAGAAAAGCCTTTTAAAAAAAATCATTTTTTAAGAGTCCACAGATAATATAATATACATATTTTTTATAAATGTAAAGGAGTATATATTACAAATAGTCAAATGTTATGATGACATGAATATATAAAGTATGACATAGTAGTATAACTGCTGCCCAACATTGTCAATACAGTACAGGACAATATTAGAATCAGGGTGTGTAAGGAATGGCCATCCATATAGTGAAATATTCCATATTGTTTGTGGATTAATTAGTTTCCTTATTTAATTTTGGGGGAGGCCAGAGGGTGTTCCATTTTCAAATAACCCAAAGTGTCCATCCCTTCCCCCCGCCAAAAAAAAATCACCCCTGCCAGAGGCCTAGATCAGGCAAGATTCAGTATTGCAGAAGAGATGAGTTTGCGATACAATACACAAATGTATTTTTTTTTAAAGTCCCATATCTTGGAAATCTGCAGGGGTTGGAATGGGAGCTTTATACAATTTAGAGGGGGCATATGCCCAGTTTTCCAGCAGGGCCCCAATGTTCTTAACAGTATTGGTGATTCTAGAATGAATTTCCATTTCTGATAGTTCCAGTCTTTACCTTACTGAGCACCATAAATCTGTCGGCTTGGAAACCCAGAACTAATCAGTAAATTAAAATGCATCTTTGAGCAGTGTTAACTCCATTATATAAGTTATTAGGTAACAGCTTCCTCATGTTAGTTCATTATCAGATTGTAATTTTGACCTTTACTATTTAATTTAGTTTGTATGCTTTTGGTTTATAATGCCACTTTATTAGCCTTGGTTTCTCTCTCAGGACCTTCAATTTTAGTGACACCAGATCCCTTGAACATGATGAATCCATGGAAACATACTATGGAAGAATACCTATTGCACTATATATTTTTGTTTGTGTTGAATGGAGGATCAGCTATGCAGAACACTTAACCTTGATTTATTTCAGTTTAGAATTCCCCATGGAAAAAATACCAAGACAATACATGTATTTGTGTCACTTGCAATCTAGTTTAGTGAACTTAGTCAAATGTGTTGGAAGGCATAATACACTCATGTGCAAAAAGAAGAGTTAACTATTAAATGAATAATGCTTTTAAAATTCAAGAGATGTAGTATTAAAGGAGTATTAAAAATAAATTGGCTATACAAATATTCTACTTGCAATGAAGCTCAGTGAAACTATTACTGCATATATAAAAATGATATTTCTATGACAACAAACAAAACCTGAAAATCTTAAATGCAGACAGTTTTTCAGTATTTTGCTCTATCGCTGTTTGCTGTAAAGCACAAATATTATTTAAGTATTTATTACTTACACTGTAATATAACTACAGATTTATATTTGGTAGTTTTACTGTAATTTTGGAAATAACAGATGGTACTAAATGCACCATGACCATGTTACACCAACTTTCTGAAAAGTGTACTAACTTCCTGTTAGTTTTTGGATTTGATTCAGCTTCTTGGTGATGATCTCAAGTTTTATGTGGCTTGAGTTCTGGCTACTTGAGAAAATAGCTCTTTATATATGTCAAAACAACTGGGATTAGCTAGGATACTTCTTCTGATTGTACCTAGATTTGAACATCTGGCAGTTAGGAGTCAAAGCTCCCAGCTTTGAGACTTATTTCCCCCACTGGTCTGAAATAGCCTGTCTGTTGAAATTCAGGGCACAATGTAAAACCCAGCCATTCCATTGGGCTCTGAGAGTATAGCCCAATTCCACTTTGTCAGTTGAGGCGGGCAAAACTTGAAAATAAATCCTTAGAATTTCAGTGGAAATTTACAGTTAAAAATCCAGAACCAATCACACACTCCTATATGTTTTGGATCTTGGTTAGATTCGAAAAGAGAATGGGGAATACCTTCCAGTTTGAATGCAGTCAAAATCAACTCACAGCTCTTCTCAAAATGTCTGCACTATCTGAGTCTAATTCCAATCTTAGTCCTAGCCCTGACTGAGCCTCAAATCAAAACTCAGATGAGAATGACTGTGGTCCTGACGAAAAGGCATGGGGCCTACAGGAATCTTAGGTTCTGCTCCTCTCTCTGCCACAGACTTGGACAAGTCTTTTAATCTACCTGTTCCTCAGTTCCAATATGTAAAATGGGATAATGATAGTTACCATTCTTTGTAAAAAGAGCTTTGAGATCTCATGATCTATACATGCTAAGATTCATTGCCGAGTTTACCAATAAACCAGATTAGAAATCAGATCACCACCTCATGAGATTATTTCTGTTTACAGTAAACTTAATGCCACCAGAATATGCCATATTCAAAGGAGAGGAGCATTACTGAAAAATGCCTTGCCATTTCAGAATTTTTTTAAGTGGACAAAAAATGCTAAAATTTTAATTCCCTTCAAAAACAGGCACCTTAGTGCCTGGGTGATATCACCAATTTATCATTTTCTCTCTTTCTTGCCTTGTTTTACTGGAAAATGCAATAACAAATTTGGATGCTGATTTGTCTATAAGACTTTGTGCTGTACGGCTGGATAGTCCCACTTTGTACAAGACTCAAGAAGAGATCCTAACCGAGTGAAGTTTAAGCTTGAAGAGATAGCATATTGCCTGCAAAGCAATTTTCAAAATGTAGCATTTTTCAAAGTTTCCTGATGGATTAACCATAATTCCCATCAAGAAAAAAACAAAACAAAATGAAACTCTTCCTCATATTTTGAGTTGAT